CACACACACACACACACACACACACACACACACACACACACACACACACACAAACACACACACACATACACACACAGTCACACACACAAATGCACACATACACACAAAGACACATTCACACAAAAAAATAAACGTTGAAACGAAACCATTTTGAATTGGCTCACATACACACGGACAAACATGTGGAAACTCATTGCGAACACATGAATACGCTCTCACCTACAAACGAACAGACACGCAAGTACACCCAAGGAAAATTTACTAGCCTCGAATCTTGAAAGGCCGACCTCAAAAACACAAAACAAAACAAAATATTTTTACAGAACAAAACTTCAAGATTCAAAGAACACAAACATACTCACGTCAATGGAAGTCACAATTCTAGTGCGGTTATCTATAGTACGATTCGCTTTGTCCAGGACTTGCTCTTCGCCATGCGCTTGAAATCCATCTTTGTCCCACGTCCCAACCTAGGGAAAATAAATACATCTCGTCAGTAAGCTATCTTTTTTTTTTCTTTCGTAAGCGTTTTACGACCTTCTCAACTGAATAAGATCATATGAACGCATGGGACACTTTAGACATTTTCAGTCGGTAGGAAATTTTGAATTTTACCCGGGCGGTGGCCGAAGCCTACTCTAATCGGTTTCGGACCACAAAGGGATCTTTAACGTGCCCAACTTAGAGACAGGACCTCCGAGATTTTTCACCCTTGTCCGAGAAGGCTAGGTGTAGATCGCTCGAACCTTAAAATCAGAGGTGTGGCTGGAAGACAGCTGTAAGACGGAGCGAAGGAAAAGCAGTAGAAAGGCTGCAGTCCAGAGGAGGGGGCAAAGGAGGTGAGAGGATGGGGGCAGAAAGTGGAGACGAAAGCAGACGACAGAGCATTGTTAGATAGCAGGAAAGGATGTGAAAGGAGAATATTTTAAAGAAGAAAATGTTTAGTCGCTATCCGGATTCGAAAGAGAGGCGAACACCTAAACCTCTAGGCTACGAGGCACATTTCCGATTCGTCAACCCCCAGTTACATGGATCAAACTTTATTCTATTTATAGTATAGGTCTAGTTACCGGAACATAGGATAAGTGGTGTGTCATGTGAGAGTCACGTTTCTGAGATTGTTTTTGGTCTCTCTTTACTCATCACCATGCGAAATTGTTGATGTTTTTCCCTAGACTGTGCCTTTACTAAAATCTCGAATCTAAATCTAGTTGTAATCTAGTTGCAGGTTGTAGATTTCTGGAATCCAGTACATTCAAGAGATGGGACTAGACTCTAGTAATGGACTCTATTCTACTTCTACTTCTAGCATGGAGGACGGGACGAAGAGATCGGTCTTAAAAGTGTTAAGAAGTTAGAAAACCTAACACATTTTTCTAACGAAATGAAGCCTAAATTGACTTTTAAATTGTCAATAAGAGATCATGTTTCGTAATCTAATAATCTAGATCTAAGTAAGGAATAAAAGGAACACAGGTTCAAGAGTGCCCTCGTAGTACCATAGTAGCTCACTAGATCTAGATCAAGATTAGATTTAGTGGCACTTTTAGTGCGGTAAAAATTCGTGGCGCAACTTATCCTCAACGGGGGATTCAATATCACCCATTCTTTGAACAGGAGTTTGTATCAATTTGTCTTAACTTAATCATATTTTTCCACAACAATTGGGGCTAGATTAAAAAACTTGTCTTAATTAATTTATATAAAACTAGTTGGGCCCCCTTTCGATGAAAGGAATGATCTGTGCATTAACATCAACTGAAAGTCATTGGCCTACTATATTTACACTCTACTGGAATGGAGCAATAAATCTGGAGAGAAAAGTGACACACGTGTTTCTAATTTGCCAAATATATATTAGATGTATAGATTGATTCTCTATTCCGTTTTTGTGGCTCTCACACTCATTGTGCATACGCATATGGCTTACGTCACTGCTCACCAATGATACTTGTTAATGGCAAAACTTGTTACAAGATATTTATTCAATAGTGAACACTTTTTTGAACTGAAAGTTCTCAAAACATTCGTTCAAAAATATATTCTCGCAATTTGAAGAAAATGAAAGACTTGCTTTTAAAAGCTGTAAACCTTTAGGAGTAGGCCTATTACGTAGAAAACGAATATGGGAAACAAGGCATACAAAGAGACTAAGCAGATAGTCTTCAGAGTGGAGAATGTATTTTTTCAGTAGACAAAAGAGTCTAAAAATTTGTACCGCCTAGACTACTTTGTTAGAGGAAAAAAAACTACCAAAAAAGTAAAGACGAAATGCAGAACGTCATTCACATTCAAAAGATAGAATGCAAAGAACATAAATCATCCAAAAAGAGTTTGACAGAATAAGTCGGTGACAAGAAAAAACGAGCAGAGATTGAAAAGATATGGAAGCTGTTATACGACAGGGCGGAGTATGATGGATTCTATCAACCAGCCTGCATTTCACAATATCGATTTCGTGCCGCAAAGAAGCTACAGTGGCGTTCGGAAAAGCAGCAAAACTAATTAGCCTCCCCATTTGCTTAAAAAAAGCCCCAATCCAAAAGAAATGTGTTAGCTTTGGAATGTGCGCCTTTCTGTGTAGACATTGTCTGGTGAACAAAGAGAGCTTACAATGGTCAGTCCTCTGTACATGGTGACCTCCTGAACTTCTACCGATAACTCAGTCCGCTGGCCGGTGGAGTCGAATTGGACATATCCGCTCCGCCCGTGGAAGGTTGTCTGTAAAGAAAGAAAAGGGGTGTTAGGGGTGGGGGGTGTTTCCTGTCAGTATGAATACTCCTACGTAATAGGTGAAATGTGATAATAGAGAGAAAGACTGTGGAAATACCAGCTACTGGTAATGAGTAGACTCTTGCTACCAAATTCTCTAGAAAGGAAAATATGATATAAGGAATGATAGTTGAATTAAGGAATTTGGGAGGGAAGCGGATAGGAAGGAATTGGGGGTGTAAGTGGGGTGAGACAGTAAGCAAGAATTATAATTAGTCTTTGTCAACAGTTAAGCATTAATGATCGTCTGTTGAGAATAAGAGATAATGACTGAATATTCAAAGTCCAATTATAGCTGACAAGCAATGGGAGAACGCCAAATATACAGATGTGAAAAGGTACCTGTACGAGAAAAAATATTGAAAAGGTAAATCCGTATTCTCCAAATGATACATAAGGCCGTCAGTAGAAACGGGAAAAAACAACAAAACAAACGAGCCAGAAAAGGACGGTGTCAGTTGCATACACTTGTCTACCTTGAGATCGTGTTTTTTAAATCTGATAGAATCCAACATGACGTTTGAATGAGTTCAATCCGCCTTCCTCCCGACTCTGTATCAGCGTTACCCTATGAGCATTGCAATATGGCCTGGCTTTTTATTATTACATTAATTTTAAAGAGACGTCAATGTAAGCGCCAGTAGTCATTTAATGTAGGGAAAAAACCCCCTATATCAATAAATAAAACCTTGCTTCCTTTCGATAAAATCTACCAAATGATTCAGCCTTTCGTTTGGCAATAAATTGTATAGGCACGCTTAAACACCCTGCCCTGTAAACGCTTCTAACGATACGGGTAAAACTATTGTAACTATCCAATAAATATGTATGTTTATGTGTATATATATTATACGATTTTTACGGCACTAGAAACACATTATGGTCATATAAATATCGAAGATTAGAGGTGTTACAAGATAGTAACAAACTCAAAAAAGAGGAGGAGACAAGAAGATGCTAAATAAGAAAGAATGAGAAAACCACACAAGAGCACCCGTCAACCACCCACACCTAACGTCTAAACCAACCACATTTTTTAAAGTTTGTTTGAATAAAGAAAATTACATCGACATAAGAGTGGACGTTTAGTACTAGGAAAAGTAAGACATACATACAGACAGAAACAACAGAGGAAACGTTGGACCTACCAGGAAAAAAGATGCAGTGCATACTTTAATTAGCCACAGCTTAATTAACTGGAGTTCAACAATCAACAAATTTTACATGGCAGCCGAAGCAAGTTGTTTCCGTAGGTTGTATGTATTTCAGCAGTAAAAGAAATGTTTATCAAACGAGATAACCCTATGATTTTATATCCATTGCACTGCCTAATATACGACTATCTGTAGATGTGTTTAAAATTTGAGTCTATGATTTCACTTTCTCTAAGTCTGTTTGTGTCGAAAGACTCAGAACACATCGATATTTCTGCTTTTAAAACACGCATTATTTGCAGGAAAATAATAGAAGGCGAGCGCTAGAAATGCTCCTTGCTGGAAGTACACTGCGAGATTTGGCTCAAAGGCTCAACGTTCACGGAAATAGCATTGGACGTTTGTGAGCAGCGTCTGGAACGACGAATGATAGATAATATCCAAGTAGTAAACCACAATCACAACGCAGAGAAAAGACCGACGACTCCATCAAGTTCATCTCCAGAACAGATTGCATCCTGCCTCACTGCGGCACGCAATGTCTCCTGGATAAAGACCAGTCTTAGAAAGAACTGATTAGCTCCAAATTTTAGATGAATTTTAGCAATAGCTAGAAAGAATCTAGATCTAGCAGCAGATTTCTCCAGCAGTTTTTCCAAGTAACTATTTCGATATTATGTCGATCACGTCAGTCAGTCATGAGTGTGGCAAGTGGCCACATGTAGCAATGATTTTGTGAATTTGGAAATTGGGGGCTCAGCTTGTAAAGAATATTTTGTGAAAAAAAGACTTCAATAAAAACTTATTTATCATCGTGGCTTCTCCCTCAATATGTGTGTGAGTGTGTCGTCTAGAAAAGGAATGGGTTTTCTCTAGGGAAAATTGGTTTGCAAGTACATGTGCAATATTTAATTTCTATGGATACTCTTTGTTGTCGTGAGTATACGTGTATGTGTGTATATAGGCCTGGTAGAAAGGCGGCAGAAAGAATCTGGAACCCAGAGGAGGGGGGCAGAAAGTGGAGACGAAAGTAGAAGACAGAACATTGTTAGAGAGAAGGAAAGGAGGTGAAAGGAGAAGATTTTAGAGAGCAAATTTTCTGCTACTGTCCGGAATCGAACCCTGAACCTATTGAATGAGAGGCGAACTTCTAAACCTCTCGACCACAAGAGCCTCGCAAGTTTCTTATGTATACCCTTAGTTTTATCATGGTGTCATTCGTATTGACAAATTCATGCCTGACAAAAACCTTCCCACTGATAATTATTTAAAAACAAAATCATACCAACGATGCAGTGGTCGACTATAAACTACAACACATATCTGCAATGGAAGGAGGTGGAGGTCGCCTTGTTTCGGAGGTTAAAACTGCAAGAAAATGGCCGCCAAACTTTTTCAGTAAAAATCCACACTGAAATGTGTTCTTGAATAGACATAAAAATGTTGAGGCCCTCCCCCCCCCCCCCCTAAAAATAGCCAAGCTGGAGGGAAAATATAACCATTTTGACGAACATCTGATTTCACCACGTTGCTTCACATGTAATAATTTCCAAAGGTTATGAAAAACGCCACATAAAATGCTCTGATCGTCATGTTCTTTGGAGACAAAGGTTGGTAGTTGTAAGTTCACATAGCTGTGAACGATTTTTCTTAGTCCGTGAGTAATTTCCATCACAGTACTGTAGAGTAATAGTATGCTTTAGACACTTTAGTTATATGTGTCCATTGGGCGCTCTATTACTAGTGAAAGAAATGTTTAACTGGAAGATGACATGCAGCTCATTCTCAACATATTTCCTGGCTTTTTTGCCATTAGTGCTTGTCTGCAAATTTGTCTAAAGGGGGTACTCCGAAAGAAGGAAGACAATGTATCGAAATCAGTTGAACTAAGTCCACATGGGTTAGAAAAATAATAAACTGAAAAATAAACTCTTCTTTTGATCTATTCTCTTCTGACACAAGAGTGCACAGACTCTGCAAGCGTAGTGCTGTGATGTTAATGGCGTCCAGTATGATATGTAAAACATGTTGACGTTGCACATGTTCTACCACACAATGAAAGAGGAACACAGCATCTGTCATTCTTACGTTTTGAAAAACTTTAGCCAACGCCCGTCCGTATCTCCAGCGCCACCTGAGCTGTGGCAGACACGTCATTTCCTGCGAGAGCTGCCAGCCATTGACGTTACCGAATACAGAGGCTGAGCCCTGGTGGCGTTGTAGCATCATCAGAGACTGCTCCAGCAGCTGGGCCGTGTCTGCAGCGATATGGTCACGCACCTGGTGAATAGGAATGTTATTTACTACTATATTACATTTCACAAGGTTTAAACATTCAAAGTATACTACCAAGACCGCCTACCGCCAGGTTTTGCAAATGTATGAAAATGAACGCGTGTATAACCATTTTTTACTTGCGTCTTTTTACCGCTATCCGCCATCCGTCTGAGTTGTACAATCCCTACTTAACAAATTAAAGCAAATTTGACCCGTTATACCGCCAATGAATCGGCCGCCAAGGTGCTCATTACACACGGTGCACGGCACCCATCCAGCGGCTGCTTGAAAACCTTTCCTAAATAGATCTCTGCAAGTTTGACTTATTTCTAGCTTCTATCGCCGATTTCCTAGTAATTTGCGTTGATAATGGAAATGCTATCATTTTTTTATTTGGCCAATATAATTTTTTTATGTAGAATAAAAATGTTTAAATGGCCTGGAGAAACTTGAAAGAAGCTGAGTCACCTCGGCATGTCGGCGAAATATCTGGCATTTTCAGATATCAGCCCGAAGACCAAAAGGCTGGCAGGCTTCTATATTGTGATGAATCACAAGACAACGTGAAAGGTGTGAGGTGATCCCGAGGACTGGCGAGAATTGGGTTTAAATAGATTACGTCTACAGGGTCCTTGACACATAATATAGCCTAGCATCTGATCCGACACAATTTCTAACTCAGGAATTTTAAACAAGGATCGTGACAAACATTTCGATCCCCTCAACTCAAATTTATATATTTATTATACATTGGGATTCGTGGGGGGGGG